GGCCACCCGTACTTGATCAGGTCCTCGTCTGCGGGAACGGGAACAAACGGGCTCAGCCCCAAACACGGGACTGCAGCCCAAATCCCGGAATTCCCACCCCAAATCCTGCCCCAAAATCCCAGAATTCCCACCCCAAATCCTGCCCCAAAATCCCAGAATTCCCACCCCAAATCCTGCCCCAAAACCCTGGGATTCCAACCCAAATACCAGGATTCAAGCCTCACATCCAGCCGTAAAATCCCAGATTCCTGCCCCAAATCCCAGAATTCCCACCTGAAATTCTGGGATTCCAGCCCCATATCCCACCCCAAATCCTGCCCCAAATCCCAGAATTCCCACCCCAAATCCTGCCCCAAATCCCAGATTCCAGCCCTAAATCCAGCCCCAAAATCCTGGGATTCCCACCCCAAATCCCAGGATTCAAGCCTCAAATCCCTCCCCTAAATCCCAGCCCCAAAATCCCAGATTCCAGCCCAGATTCCTGCCCCAAATCCCAGAATTCCCACCCAAAATTCTGGGATTCCAGCCTCATATCCCACCCCAAATCCAGCCCCAAATCCTGGGATTCCAACCCCAAATCCCAGAATTCCAGCCCCAAATGCTGCCACAAATCCCAGGATTGTAACCCCAAATCCAGCCCGAAAACCCCAAACCATCCCACCCTAAATCCCAGATTCCCCCCTCAAATCCCGGGACTCCCATCCCAAAATCCCAAAATCCCGAACCCAAATCCTGGGATTTCCACTCCAAATCTCAGGATTCCCATCCCAAAACCAGCCACAAAATTCCCCCCCAAAAATCCCTGAAATTCTGAAAATAGACCTTGAAATTCCCCCAAAAAGTCCTGAAATAATTCCCCAAACAATTCCTGAAATTCCCAAAATGATCCACAAAGTCCTCCAAAAAATCCCAAATTAATTCCTGAGATTCCCAAAATTTCCCCCCAAAAACCCAAAACTTTCCCAGAGAATTTCCAAAACTCAAAAAACAATCCCCAGAATTCCCAAAATTCCCAAAAATTCCCAGAATTCCCGGCGGGTCGGTCACTCACTCTCGTACTTGTCCTTGCCCATGTAGATGGTGTAGACGGCGGCAGCGGCTGCGGGAAAAGCAGGAATGGAACCGTGAAAAATGGGAATGGANTTGGGGATGTCGTCCATGGTCTGGCCCTGCAGGAAATTCCCAAATTCCCAAATTCCCAAATTCCCAACTCATCCCACTTTTACATCCCCTCTTCCCAAAGTTTCCAGAAAATCTCCCAATTTTCCCAAGAGTTTTCCTGATTTTCCCAAGATTTTTTCCCGAGGTTTCCCCAGGGCCATCCCGGCTTTTCCCGTGCTTTTCCAGGGCGTATCCAACTTTTCCCCGAGATTTTTCCCATTTTTTTCCCAAGGTTTCACGAGGAATATCCCTGTTTTTCCCAAGGATTTTCCCAAGTTTTCCTTGGGGACAATCCCTCCTCTTGCAGGGTTTTTCCCTGATTTTCCTCAGGTTTTTCCCAAGGTTTTTCCCTGAGTTTATTCTGTATTTTTCCTGAGTTTTTCCCACTGGTTTTCCCGTGGTTTCCCAGGGGACATCCAGGTTTTCCAGAGATTTTTCCCGAGTTTTTCCCAAGATTTTCCCAAGGTTTACCCTGTGGTTTTCCAGAGAATATCCCGATTTTCCCAAGGTTATCCCGAGGTTTTCCCGCTGTTTTGTCCCAAGGTTTCCCCGAGTTTTTCCTGAGATTTTTCCCCGAGTTTTTCCTGAGATTTTTCCCCGAGGTTTTCCCGGGATTTTCCCAAATTTTCCCAAATTTTTTCCCGAGTTTCCTGGATTACCTGGTGCAGCCGCAGGTAGACGTGGGCTGAGGAGAGTTTGTCCACGTGGAACCTGCGGGAACAGCGGGAAAATGGATCCAGGAATTCCGGGAATTCCAACCCGGGAATGGCAGGAATTGCAACCCAGAGGCAGCCCAGGAATGCTGAGCTGGGAATTTTGGGAATTCTGGGAATTTTGACCCAGAGCCCAGCCCAGGAATGCTGAGCTGGGAATTTTGGGAATTCCAGCCTGGAGCCAGCCCGGGAATTTTGGGAGTTCTGGGAATTTCCACCTGGAGCCAGCCCGGGAATGCTGAGCTGGGAATTTTGGGAATTCTGGAAATTCCCAACCACAGCCAGTCCAGGAATGCTGAGCTGGGAATTTTGGGAATTCTGGGAATTTTGGGAATTCCAGCCTAGAGCCAGCCCGGGAATTTTGGGAATTTTGGAAATTCCCAACCACAGCCAGCCTGGGAATGCTGAGCTGGGAATTTTGGGAATTCCAGCCTGGAGCCAGCCTGGGAATTTTGGGAATTCTGGGAATTCCCAACCACAGCCAGTCCAGGAATGCTGAGCTGGGAATTCCAGGAAAAAATGGGATCCAAAGAGGTTCAGGGAAACGGGATTGGGGAAAAACGGGATCCAGGAAAAAATGGGATCCAAAGGGCAAATGGGATCCAAATGGGATCAGAGGAACAAAGGAGATCCAGGGAAAAATGGGACCCAGGGAAAAATGGGATGCGGGGAAACAAACGGGATCCAGGGGAATCTGGGATCCAGGGAAAAATGGGATTCAAGTGGGATCAGGGAAACAAACGGGATCCAGGGAAATCCATTGGGATCCAAATGGGATCCATGGGAAGGAATGGGATCAGGGAAAACAAACGGGATCCAAATGGGATCCAGGGAAATCCAATGGGATCCAGGGGAATATGGGATCCAGGGAACAAACAGAATCCAGGGAAAAATGGGATTCAAATGGGATCTGGGAAGAATGGGATCCAGGGGGAAATGGGATCCAGGGAAATCCAATGGGATCCAAACAGGATCAAGGAAACAAAGAGGATCCAGGGGAATCCAATGGGATCCAGGGGAACAACCGGGATCCAAATGGGATGAGGGAAAAATGGGATCCGGGGGAATTCAATGGGATCCAAATGGGACCCAGGGGACAAACGAGATCCAGGGGAACAAAAGGGATTTGGGAAAACAAACAGGACCCAAACGGGATCCATGGGAAGAAATGGGATCCCAGGGGAATCCAGGATCCAGGGAAACAATTGGAATCTATGGGAACGAACGGGATCCAGGGGAACAAATGGGATTTGGGAAAACAAACAGGATCCAAATGGGATCAGGGAAGCAAATGGGATCCAGGGGACAAACAAGATCCAGGGAAATCCAACGGGATCCAGATGGGATCAGAGGAACAAAGGGGATCAAGAGAGAAACAGGATCCAGGGGGAAAACTGGGATCTGGGAAAGCAAACAGGATCCAAATGGGATCAGGGAACAAACAGGATCAAGGGGAAAATGGGATTCAAATGGGATCAGGGAAAAATGGGATCCAGGGGGAAAAATGGGATCCAGGGGAACAAATGGGATCCAGGGGAACAAAAAGGATTCAGAAAACAAAAGGAATCAGGGAAAAATGGGATCCAGGGGAATCCAGTGGGATCAGGGAAACAAACGGGATCCAAATGGGATCCATGGGAAGAACGGAGATCCCAGGGAATCCAGGATCCAGGGAAAGAACTGGAATCCACGGGAACAAACGGGATCCATGGGAACAAACGGGATCCAAACGGGATCCATGGGAAGAAATGGGATCCCAGAGAATCCAGGATCCAGGGAAAGAATTGGAATCCACGGGAACAAGCGGGATCCATGGGAACAAACGGGATCCCAGGGAATTCAGGATCCAGGGAAACAACTGGAATCCACGGGAACAAACAGGATCCACGGGAACAAACCGGATCCCAGGGAATTCAGGATCCAG